AGGCTACCAATTCGCGGTGGAAATGAGAAGATTAAGCAATCACACGATAAAAGACACCGACGTAAATGATACCCTCAAGAAACCGCTGAACCTTGCCCACCAGCTCTTACCCAACAGGAGAGCTCTCATTCAAATTCGGACTTTAAGCGATGAGTTTATAGATCGCGATGACACTGGACGTTCCGTCGCAGCAACAATTTCGATAGAGAAGGTCCAAATCGGCGTACACTCGCTTTTCGATGTCTGACTCGTCCAAATAATGTAGAATCCAACTACCCATTTCGTATTCTCTACCGACTCCTTTCAATGCATTGCCAAATGCTTCATCGCTATTCAAAGAAAAATTCCTTTCGTTAGATTATTCAAACCATAGCTTGTTGGTGGCATTGTTGGAGGAACATTGTCGAAGACCTCATTGATATTCCGTTCCAACGTTTCGTGCTGAGACAAAATTGGACGCTCCATATGAATTTCGAGAATTTTGTCAAGCCCAATAAGAATGGATGATAAGCAATGAATGTACATAGACTGAAAACTGATATTTTCCAGATGAGGCTATCATGTTATACCCATGTCCTGCAGCGTATTCTGGTATGAGTTACAACCTTTCCAAGAAAATATCAAGTTCTATACCCGTTATCTACCAGGACTGTACGTCGCAATGTAGACTTCAAAAAGGTATACTCCTATTGCAGTGGCAGGTTGGCCTAGATCCTGTTCAATGGCAATAGGAGGTTGGCCAAGATTCTGATCACACCGCATGTTGTGCATGTTTGGGCATAGGAATACCTTACTTTGCCTTTTCTACAGGAAGAAGCTTTTTGATGCATTTTTTTCTCTGAAACCATTCACAGAGAAAACTTAGAAACATTTTAGCAATTTCTGGCCTTTCGCTCTTGAATTAATCCCTCTCATGTTGATAAGGACCCCATGGATGGAATAAATCAGTAACATTAAGAGGCCCTTCGAATCAGGTCAAAAATATAGAAAGGTATAGCAGTCTCTATAGGGACATTTTCTTGCACTACACTTTCAATCGTGACAGCCATCCCAAAAATGATTCAATTCTCCCAAACCCATTTCCCAAGCCATAGTAGTAAATCTGAAAACAATGCCGATGTGTCGTGGTGATCGGATGAAGAGGCCCTTCGAATCAGGTCAAAAATATAGAAAGGTATAGTAGTCTTTATAGGGACTTTTCTTGCACTACACTTTCAATCGTGACAGCCATTCCAAAAAGGAATCAATTCTCCCAAACCCATCTCCCAAGCCATAGTAGTAAATCTGAAAACAATGCCGATGTGTCATGGTGATCGGATGAAGTCAGTTGCCCTCATTTTTCATGCGCCCCCAGACCAATCCAATGGCCATTAACTCGTTCTTTATAAATGCTGCGACTTCACTTCTACTTTCACTATTTATAAAGAAAAGGGTAGATATGAGCACTTCGAGGTCACACTCATTTCCGGTATATCCAAAGGCCGTACTCAGCCACAAATGATAGTCCAAACAGAGACACGGGAGACTGTTCGAACTTGAAGAAATCCTCCAACTATCATTCAGAGACTTGGCCAGAAGCTTGAATACCCTGTCTAGGAGGCATATCCTTTCACAGGCTGGCAACCCTCTCTGAAACGCGCTTGCGATTTTTCAAACATCTGATGAAGGATGAGAAAGAAGAAGGACTGGGTAAGCAAATCTACTGGTTAACATGGGTTATCCGAACCCAATACGGCGTTTGACCGCGAATATTACTTTGCTCGATATGTCTAGGACTATTCACACTTTTTGTACTGCTATGAAGATAAACCACGAGGAAAAACGAAAATGTAAAGGGTACCGCAAATGTCGCTTTTCCAGCTACGATAGCTTCTCAAAAGACTGAGAAAACGCGAGAATATCATGCTGTTGAAGAAGGAGCTTTTTGAGAATCACCCTCTGCGACTGCTCTACTGCAAGATGACAAACCCTAACAAGGCAGAAGAGAACGATTCACGAGTAGAGCTCCCCACATCAGCGCCCAGTGCAGGAGGTATGAGAAAGACAGCCCGCACAGCTATAGGTCGTGTAAAGCTACTGGTTAAGGAGAGAAGCGAGGAAAAGGGAAGAAGCACGGCTCTTGAATGAGGATGTCCAGAAAGATGTACTGTGGCAGGAGGCAAGATGTCCAGAACATCTTAGCGATCACAAAAACTGAAAGTGATTGGCAAATGGAGCGTGCATTGGCCAAGAGCGCTGAAATGGATGTCCTCTTGAAGAAGCCACAGGCGGACATCGGGCAGAAAAGATCGCAACAACTCTCGAAAGCCTCGCACCAAAATGCACAGGCCGTAGGGGTGATAAGTGTGGCAAAGTCTACGTAACAGTAATGGAGAACTCAGCAACAAGCAATAGGGAATGAAAACAGTAGCTGAGACACCCTGCCGAACAATTATGTGGAGATCGACCAGGTAGTTTTACCAACCACTTTTTTTTTAATGCGAACTGAATTACATAGCTATTGAGTTCCGAAAAAGAGTTGTAGTACGGTATCGGGGATTGAGTTGATTCCTTGTAGGAGAGCAACTGCTGCTCAGAGGGTTGCTCAATGTGGATGTCAGCACAGCTAGGTCGTAGGAGAGCAACTGCTGTTCAGGGGGCAGCTCACTGTGGATCTCAGCAAGGCCAGATCGTAGGAGAGCAACTGCTGCTCAGAGGGTAGCTCA